GTAGAGAGGGGGTTTCACCATGTTGACCAGGATGGTCTCGATCTCTTGACCTTGTGATCCACCCGCCTCGGCCTCCCAAAGTGCTGGGATTACAGGCTTGAGCCACCGCGCCCGGCCTATTTCCATTATTTTATTCCCACTATATCTATGTTAAAATATAATTATAAGGAAAGACGTGACTGTTTCATATTGATAAAGCTGGAAAGTTTTCAGAAAAATTAGTAGATTAATGAAACAAAAATCTACATGAACAAATCCCAAATTTTCCTAAAAACAGGGATCTGACACTCATTTACGTAAAGCATAGATTGCCAGAAAACATTCTACAATGAAGAGAAATGAAACATTTAGGACATATTAGGAATTGTGTTTTGAAGTTATCCTTACCCAGGAAGACCAGGTTTCTGTAGTTCTCTAACATCACAGTTCTATATAAATTCTTCTGTGCTGTGTCCAGGCACTGCCACTCCTCCAGAGAGAATTCTATGGCTACATCCATAAATGTCAATGGTCCCTGAAAAACATACACACATTTACCAAGTGATCATGAAGAAGGGAATTAAATAATCAAGAATAGTAAAACAAAACCTTATAATTCATAGTTGCTACATAATAAAGTAAATTTTGGTGTGTTGTGTACCGTTTAATATAAAACCTAACCCCCAGCTCTACTTAAAATTAAATCCCGGTAAAACCTATCTTATCTATTCTCCCCACATTCTCAGCAAAGTTCCCAGGTATCTCAGGACTCCCGTTTCTCTTGCTAACCAGCTGCAAGGTCAAAGGGCAAGATAACACCCAAAGAATGTACAATGCATTTCTCAAAAAGCTATTTTTTAAATGTAACACATATCATAAGACATGTTGCAAATTAATTGTTCTTTGTTCCGTAAACCTGTTAGCTGCTATGTAATCCTGGATGTATAAAAGTACCCCATTCTCTTCTCCCAGGGCTCGCACTTAGAATGCTAATCCTCTGAGCCGGTGGCCACCTCAATAAAATCCTGTTTCACCCATTAGTCTCTCCGGTCTCTTGGATATTCTGTAACAACCATGGGCAGAATTTTCAATTTGACTCAAGGTGAAATGCGACACTAAAGGGAACTGGTTGTAACTTACAGGAGTAACTAAAATTATCTAATTAAATATTTTTAAACACAGAAATATTATCTAATATATTTTCTATGAGAAAAGAAAATGACCTAAGACCTACATCAGTGAATATATGTTATGAGCATGAACGCAAATACATACTTTTGTTTGTTTTTTGAGACAAATTTCTCTATTGTTACTCAGGCTGGAGTGCAATGGTGTGATCTTGGCCCACTGCAACCTCTGCATCCTAGGTTCAAGCAATTCTGCTCAGCCTCTGGAGTAGCTAGGATTACAGGTACATGCCACCATGCCCAGGTAATTTTTTGTAGTGACGGGGTTTCTCCATGTTGGTCAGGCTGGTCTTGAACTCCCGAACTCAGGTGATATGCCCGCCTCATCCTCTCCAAGTGCTGGGATTACAGGCGTGAGCCACTGCACCCCACCCAAATATGTACATTTTTTTACTGCTATATTTACATCATACAAAATGAGTTGTGTATATTTTTCAGATGGAAAAAAAGTGTTGGGTTAGAAGGTGCCTCTCACATTTTAATGGGTCCAACAAACTGGAGGTCTTGTTAATGCAGATTATTTTTTCAGAAGATCTGGAATAAAGTTTGAGTTTCTGAATTTCTAATAAGACCATCAGTAATGTCAATGTTCTGAAGAACCCAAGAACCCAAGAAGAATCTTTTGTCAAACAACCAGTAAGAAGAAGCACCTGTGTTTTTCCCAGTTTATCTGGCCTGTAAACAAAGATGAGTGGTTTCATTTTCTAAAGACAGATATGTGCAAAGAAAACCAAAAAAAGAAGGGAAGCTACCAGATTAAATGTGATAGTGTATACACAGTAGCTACATAAAGATACTTAATAATGAAGAGAAAAATAATTAACTCCATAGTGAAATACATCTGTCAGGGAACTCTTTAACCAAGTGAATCATTAACATCAACTGCACTAGGACAGATTTTTTTTTTTTAATTTTTTTTTAAAGACAGGGTTTCACCATGTTGGTCAGGCTGGTCTTGAACTCCTGACCTCAGGTGATCTGCCCGCCTTAGCCTCCAAAGTGCTTGGATTACAGGCGTGAGCCACCACGCCCGGCCCAGGACAGATTTTTATAAAGTGCTGATACACACAGAAGAACACAGTATCACTGCTAGAATATCTTCCCCTAAAAGTACAGTCTGAATTTAACCACAAAGAAACATCAGTTCTATGTAAAGTTCAAGATGGAGGAGATCTCTCTTTTGTTCTGTAATTTTTCATAGTGATTTTAAGTAGTATCTCTTTAGCACCCTAGAAAGCAGGTATTTCCCAATAACTCTTTTTCAGAACTTTCTGGGTAATAAATGCCATCCTGTTCAAATAAGCAATTTAAAATTGTGTTCTTCATACAGCTAATGAAGAACAGAGAGGGAACTTCAACATTACAAGTCCTCCATCTTTACTAAGGACCCCAGCTCTTCCCTAATAAAGATCTTGAGAGGGCCGGGTGCTGTGGCTCACGCCTGTAATCCCAGCACTTTGGGAGACTAGGGCAGGTGGATCACAAGGTCAAGAGATCAAGACCATCCTGGCCAACATGGTGAAACCCTGTCTCTACTGAAAAAATACAAAAATTAGCTGGGTGTGGTGGTGCGTGCCTGTAGTCCCAGCTACTTGGGAGGCTGGGGCATGAGAATTGCTTGAACCCAGGGGGTGGAGATTGCGGTGAGCCGAGATTGCGCCATTATACTCCAGCCTGGCGCCTGGCGACACAGCAAGACTGTCTCAAAAAAA